AACACTGCCTGTGTCCCATATATTTTACGTATATACTCTAATTTTCTGCAATCCTAAAGCTAAAGTATTCCCAACATATCACTTTCAAGATAAGGAGACACAAAAAGATTTTAACTCTTTGTCTGTTTTCATAAGTTCCTGAAGAATAAATAGTAGTTTATTGGACATTGTGGCCCCATGGCATAGTAGTCAGTCCATATTAAACTAAAAAAAATATGTGTTAAATAAATTAGTAAATGAATGAATGATATATAGTTAGGTTAACCTTGAAAAATACCTAGGATAAGCAGAAGCAAGGGAGTGAAAGCAGAATAAAAAACAAACAGAAAATCCAGTCACCATTGCTTGTTACTGTTTAAGGAAAGCAAAATTAAAAAGTGAATCGCCTTATACCTAGCTACAAAAGAAAGGCATTACTACCCATAAGCTGAGGAGGTAAAGAGCAAGAATGAGTCCCAGAATTCAGAGTTGTAGAGCATGTAGCTGAATGCAGTCACTGACAACAGACCAAAAATCAGGTGAGAGGAGCCAGGGGAATAAATACCACAATCTTTGCCTTTCTTTCAGACCTCAGGTTTCCGGCTGACCATTGCAGTGATGGCTCCCACTGACCAACACAACTAGAGGCCATGACATACTCGTTGATGTAGTGCACAATACAGCCTCCAGGGCACAAAGCAGAGAGAGAGGGAGGGTGGGAGGCAGAGCGAAAGAGGCAAAGGAAGGATATCCAGCAAAAGCCATGTGTTTTACATTTCAATATACTTTTATTTGAAAAACAATTAAAACCAATTTAACAAATTCTATTTCATACGGTGTGACCTCTGTATTATTCTATTTGCAGTGGACAAAATGCTGATCATCAAACAAGTACTCCTGGGTCTTCTAAGGACTGGGCAGCTGGGGCTCTATAATCTTAGGGCTTGTGTCTTCCTGATATTTCTGTCTGATTGCACCTATTTCAGGATCATCAACTATAAATGAAGCCAGGACTGGAATCTGCGAAAAGTAGTTCTTAGCCAGGATATGCTTGTGTTTGATCTTGTGAATGAACAAGGGATCATATCCCTGGGAAAAAAACACACAAATTCTATTAAATGTCACAGTTATATTTAGCCAAGTAAAAACACTTTCATGCCTCGCTGCCTTTGCTTATAATTTCTCTGAGCCCAGGGTACATTTTTCACCACTATGACTATCATCTTTCAGGGCTCAGCATCTATGACCTTTAACCTGCCAGCTTTTCCTGATTCTCCCTTCTTTTCAACCAAGTGATGGCTACTACCTGTACCTTCTCTTACCACCTGTTTTTTGAGAGTAAAACAGCGCCTCAGTAAAGATCCCTCACTAGTGTCAATCAAAAGTGAAGAAAGCCCTAGAGGAAAGGAGCCCAAGAATATGAACTAGGTAGGATTATCCTGGGCTTATTTTTAAGCTTCCTCTCCACCGACAAATTTAACAGGTCAAAATAGGAATCCTTCGCACTAATCTAACTTTATTCCATCACTTCTTAGCTCATATTTATTAAAGAAAAATTAACACATTTCTATTATGCAGTATTAAATTATCCACACACAGGACTTCTTATATTTTCAAAGTACCTTTATAGATCCAAAATGTAATCCTTAAAGATGAGATAAGCATATTATAGTACATACAATTAAAGAAATAATAAGCAGCTCTTAAAGAATAATATAAAAAGATATCCAATGCCTATCACCCCCTTGTTACATTATTCCCTTTTTATTAATGAGAAAACCAGAACACCAAGACATTAACAACCTTGCCCCACTTCTCTCAGCTCATGGGTGACAGGGCCTGAATTCAAGTCAGGCTGCTCTGCTCCTCCGTACCGAGTCCATGCGTTTAGGTACCTTTATAAAAAAGTATGAAGCAAAGGGGGCAGGCCTTACTGCCCTTTAGATCATTAGTGACAGGAATGGGAAATACTGGGTCAGGTCTGCTGACTCTAAATCCGCTGTTGTTCTACTTTGGCCAATGTGCCACCATGAGACACTGACCTGCCTCTTTCACAGTTTAGAGAAGCTTTTTCCATGCTTTTCCTATAACTTGTGCCATGATTACAGGGAGTTGACCTTTAACATCTGAGTTGGTTTTTTTTTTTTCCACATTGATAAAACAGCTTTCTGTTTTAATTTTAGATTAATTAAAATAAAGTTTTAGTTCCTTAGTTGATGGAGTCATATTTTAGCAGTTGGCTACCATGCTGGACAGAACAGGCATAGAAAAGTGAAAAAATTTGGTTCCTCCTCTGTCATGAATGGAAATGTGTAGGGGTTCTGGGATTAAGTGACTGGATCTGATAGAGGGGCCTGGTCACATGATCAGGAGAGACAGGGATAACACCCCATCTGGCAGAGCCATGGGACATCTGCCTTGTGGAATGTCTTAAAAAGGACTACAGCCTGGCCGGCATAGCTCAGTGGTTGAGCGTGGACATATGAACCAGGATATCATGGTTCGATTCCTGGTTACGGCACATGCCTGGGTTGTAGGCTTGATCCTATACATCCTCAGTGTGGGGTGTGCAGGAGACAGCTGATCAATGATTCACTCTCATCACTGATGTTTCTCTTTAAAAAATATATATTTTTACTAGAGGCCCGGGGCACGAAATTTGTGCACTGGGGGGTGGGGGGCCGAGGAGGAGGAAGAGTGTCCCTCAGCCCAGCCTACACCCTCTCTAATCTTGGACCCCTCGTCTCCCTCGTCTTTGCACCGCTTTCCTAGTTCTTCCGACCCTCACTGCAAGGGTGGAGTTGCAGCGCACCTGATGAGGAAAGCGCAAAGATCTGAGAGAAGATGCGAAGCGTCGGTCATAAGGGCAAGCGAGTTTGCAACTAGGTTCTGTGTCTAGCTTCTGTCTCTAGGTTTCTGTTAACATCTGAGTTGTTTTGTGTGTGTTTTTTAATTCACTGAGAAAGCAACTATCAGTGCATTATGGAAAATCTGGAAATACTTTAACTTGCTGCAAGACAAATTATTCTTTTTTAATTTGTTTTTGTTAATCCTCACCTGAGGATATTTCTTCTATTGATTTTTAGAGAGAGTGGAAGGGCTGGGAGCTGGGGGGGTGATGGGGGTGGAGTGAGAGGCAGAGAGAGGAGAGAGAGAAAAAAACATCAATGTGAGAGCAAGACATCACTTTTAATTTGTTTTTGTTAATCCTCACCTGAGGATATGGATCGAACCTGCAACACAGGTACGTGCCCTTGACCAGGCATCGAACCCGTGACCCTTCAGTAGGTGGGCCAATGCTCTAACCACTGAGTACATCGCCAGAGCAACAAATTATTCTTTAACTAGGTTGAATATTAATACTCAAATGATTACACCAGGCTGAATATTAATACCTTAAAAGATTACATCAGCCCCAAACCATCAAGAAGGGAATTTTTTTTCTTCAGTTTGTCTGGTTGTAAACCTTAGCTCTAGTTACAGAAATTCAGTAAGCTCGGCATCCTGAATGGGGATAGAACTTAATTTGATTCTGCAGTAATTTGATTAAATACACAAGGGGAGCTGTATGGATTAATTGAAGAAGCGGTGGAATATCAGCGCTGGGAATGCACTCCAGTCCCACTGCGGTGCTAGATGAAATGAGTTTGCTAGGATTGGCTATGCTTCCAGTGATTAAGTATTTAGGAGGCAGCTGAGTTTACTAAATACAACACATAACACACCTTCAAAATTTCTTGCTGCTCTTTCTTTCCATAGCTAAAGTAAAATTTATTTTAGCCTGGCTTCTCCGGGAAAGTTATTCAAAAAAAGCTAAAATTTTAACTAGTTTCTCCCCATTACACTTCCCCTCCCCCACAGCATCATCCAAAATGACTTACATTTGAAGTCATTTCTTTAGTTTCTCTTAGCTGGCATCTTACATGGAATTGAATACATCAACTTAATCAGCAGAAGTCAGCAGCAGCAGTAGGAGTCCTGGGCTTGCTTAGTGTAAATAAAGCTCTCTGGGAACTCATTAGGGACTCCTCAAATTCATTCATCAGCAAGCTTTAGAAATTACATCTTGTAAGTTACTGACATTAAGTGGTATTTAATTTTTAACGTGCTTTCTCCACCCCTAGTTAGTTGGAAGCAAATAAAAAATGGAGCCTCGAAACTACACCCCATCAGTATGATGATTTCCATTTTGCGCACAAAATTATGAACAAAATTTATTTGACAATTTAGTGTGCTTTTAAGTAGGTGATGATTATCAAAGGGCAGATTTTGAGTTCTATAACATCTATCTAGTGGTAATATTCATCTATTTACCCAACAAATACTTATTAAACCCCTAATCTGTGACGGGCAGTGCGGTAGGTATTAGAGATACAGACACAAATAAGCTAAACAAAATCTCTGCCCTTGTGGAGAGATTGTGCTTGAACTTGCTGTTATTAGATGGGAGTAGTATCATGTTTGGGTACTTGTACAAACCTCCGTGTCTTTCATTCTCACCTTTCATTCTTTTATTCTCGCCTTAGCTTCCCTTTAATTTTAATCTGTCATACATACCATCCACAATTTTTGTTATCCAATGGGTTCTCTGTTTCTTAACTCAAAGGAAGTATTTAAATTATGCAGGGAATGTGGTTTTTTAAATCCTGAGGATATTTTTTCCATAATTTTTTTAAATCTTTAATTTCTTTATTGGTTAAGGTATTACAAATGTGTCCTCATCCCCCCCATTAACCCCCAACCTCCCCGCCAACACACACTCATGCTCTCATCCCCCTGTTGTCCATGCCCATTGGTATGCATACAAGTCCTTTGGTTGGTCGGAAAAGTGGAGGGAGAGAGAGAGAAACATTGACGTTAGAGAGACATATCGATTGGTTGCCTCCCACTCTCACCTGGACCAGGGCTGGAGATCGAACCTGAAACCAAGGGACACACCCTTGATGGGGAATCAAACCCAAGACTCTGCAGTCTGGGGGCCTATGTGCTAATCATTCCAGGGCAGGCACGGAATGTTGTAATACAGTCAAGTTCTCTCTAATAATTCCAAGGATTACATTAATTTTCCCCGGTAAAACGCAACTTGCTTACCACTTCAATACTTGTGAGCTTGAGATGAGCAGCAGCTTCATCCTTGGTGAGGAGAATGCAGTTCCAGGGGGACCACTCCACGGCCTTGTCCCACCGGACGAGGACCAGGTCGTTGAGGTCATTCCAGGCGCTGAGTGCGGACTGGGTCGCCCAGATGTTCTCCACCAGGTACTGAATATCTTGCAGCTGCATGTCAACATAAGTCGAAAAATGTTTTCTTATAAACATAAAAATCACTTACGATGATTATATTACTTAAGGAAATAATTAAATTATATTGAGTATATTCTTGAAAGAGAAATACTATTCGTGAGGTTTTCCGTGGCGTATTGCTCCTTATTTTTCACTAAACATTTGCTCATTCTGACCAAATTAGGTTATCAGTCTCACATTCATGACCGGACCTTTGACCTAGAGTAAGCTATATATATTTCTTCCAGTATGCTCATTTTACCTTACATTTATATGGTAAGTACTTTTCAAAATGTATGTGTAACTATCATCTTGTCCTCAGGGTTAATGCCTGTCATTTTACTCCCATTTTACAAATGAAGACATTAAAATTTTAAAAAGTGCCGAACCGAGCGTCGGCCTGCGGACTGAAGGGTCCCAGGTTCGATTCCAGTCAAGGGCATGTACCTTGGTTGCGGGCACATCCCCAGTAGGGGGCGTGCAGGAGGCAGCTGATCGATCTCTCTCATTGATGTTTCTAACTATCCCTCTCCCTTCTTCTTGTAAAACAATCAATAAAATATATATAAAAATGAAAAAAAAATTTAAAAAGCAATTTTCGTAGTGTTGTTAAAAAGATATTTTTTTGTTTTAATGAAAAAAAAGAGAGAAGGGGGAAATGAAATAACTTTAAAAACATTTTTTAATTTAAACCATATTAGCTAAAACTCTTGAAGCAACTTTTTGTCAAGAAATCTACATATATAAATGTAGAATTGCCAGAAGAGCAAGCTTCAGAAAGTATAAGCACAGGCGGTAAAATCCATTATTTTTTAAAGTTTCGGAGGAAAAGCAGGAATCTTCTCTGTAAACTTTCATCTAATATTGGCAACTCTCACTGATGATACCTGTATCAGGAAAGCTATTTTAGAATCATCTTCATAATTAACTTCTGAATAGTAGAGCCGCTTAAGTAAATATTTGTACTTCAAAAATGATTCCCGTTTTCGAGTCTCATTGTCAAGGCTAATACAGTTACGACACCGGTATATGCGGTGTGCAGTGGATGAGATAGCGAACTCCGTAGACGGTAAGTAGAGCTGGCAACTGTAGCAAAAGTAAATCTTCTTATAAAATTTCAGTGGGTCTGGAGGGACCTAAATAATAAAAATATATACATATATTTAAATTTATATAGAGAGAGAGCAAGAGAAAGATATAAATAAGAGCCAAGTCAAATACCACCCAACAGAAGCACGGAGGGCTAACATCTTAGAAAGAGATAAAAAGTTGGTTAATTTTTTAAAAAATATGTTTTTCTTGATTTCAGAGAGAGAAAGGGAGAGGGAGGGAGTGATTGCAGAATTAGGTTAGCTTGTTGCTGGGGTCTGGCCTATTGGGCCTGAGCAAGATGGGCCAGACATATGCTGTAACCCTCCCGTGCTCCCTCCCTGGCTGGCCAACCTCCCGCATCCCTCCCCGACCCCGATCATGCACCAGTGGGGTCCCTCAGCCTGGCCTGTGCTCTCTTGCAATCCAGGACCCCTCAGGAGATGTCAGAGATCCGGCTTCAGTCCTATCCCCAGGCCAGACTGAGGGATCCCACTGATGCACAAATTCATGCACCGGGCCTCTAGTTCCTTATATATATATTTCTCAATTCTTTGTTTCCTTACTTCCCAGCTTTCACAGCCCCTCCTGAGTCAGTTAGAATGGGGAAGTAAGATTACAGCCTTTAGTGGTGCTAGTGACCTCCCCTCTAGCTAAGCTGTTAAATTCTTAGTTTGTGGCCCTTGTAAACTGGGAGCATTTAGGAAAACAGATTATTGCCTAAGGAAGGGGCAGTGACTTAATTATAGGCTAACAAGAATGTGCACTAGGACACCAGTCACTAGCACAGATTCAGATTGCTAGCACCCCCGTCCCCCAGGTTGCCCCCTATATTCCTCCTCAAGAGAGGGAGAAACATGATTGGCAGCCTCCTGCACCAGGAGTTGAACCAGTGACCTTCTGGTGCATAGGCCAAAGCTCAACCTACTGAGCCATACCAGCTGGGCAAAAGTTGGTTAATTTTTAAAGTCATACTTTCCCTTTAACTTACTATTCTATACAAAATTTAAACTTCAAATAGTATTCATTTATCCTGCCAAAATATTAAAAATCTGTATTATTCATCAATCTTTGGATAGATGCAGTAAAATCACATAGAAAATTAATTGACTGAAAGAAAATTAATAAGTCAAGACTCTGGGTTGCAAAACAGTAAGAAAGCCTTCCAAGTACTTTGGCACTTATTTTTAAGAAGAATTTAGAGTTTGGGTGTTATGCTACACTAATTAACCTTACAGCAACTAGATTAACATATAAAAGCTCACTAAACCAATTGTTCTTATTCATTCAGTTTAACAATAAATTTGGATAGGCTCAATTTTCAAGATTTGAAACTCTGTATCATATGGTAGTTCTATTTTTATTTTTTTGAGAAAATTCCATTCTTTTTCCATAATGTCGGTACCAATTTACATGTCCACCAATCGTGCACAAGAATTCCCTTTTCTCTACATCCTTGTCAAAACTTATCTTTTGTCTTTATCACTTTGCAGTTTTGATTTGCATTTCCCTGATGACTGAGCACTTGTCATGTGCATGATGGTCATTTCTCTACTCTTTGGGAAATGTCTCTTAAGGTCCTTTGCTCATTTCAAAGTGAGTTAAAATTGTTTTGCTATTGAGTTTTAAAAGCTCCCTTTGGTTGGGTGGGGGGGTGGGGTCGGGATATTAACTCACGGGGATTCGAAGATCCAAAGCCTGAACAACTTATACAGTGAGATTATCCTATATAAGGATTCTTATATCCTATATAAGAATATAATATGTTAATGATATGCTAATGCCACTAACCGCGATATATGGTTTGCAAATATTTTCTCCTATTTCAAGGGTTGCCTTTCACTTTGTTGATGGTTTCTTTTACTGTGCGTTTGAGTTTGATGCAATCTCATTTGTCTGATTTTGCTTTTGTTGCCTTTGCTTTTGGTGTCATGACTAAAAACTCATTGTCAAACCAATGTCAAAAAACGTTTTCCCTGTTTCCTTCAAGTAGATTTACCGTTTCAGGTCCTACATTTAAGTCATTAATCCATTGTGAGTTGGTTTTTGTATGTGGAGGGATATAAGGATCTAATTTCATTTTTTTAATGTGGTTATCAAGTTTTCTTAATCTCATTTATTAAAGAGACTATGCTTTCTCCATTGTGTTCTTGGCTTCTATGTCAAATATTAGTTGACCTTATATGTGTATGTTTTTTTCTGGCTAGTCTGTATCATTGATCTATGTGACTCTTTTTAAGGCAATACCATACTGTTTTAATTATTAAAGCTTTGAAATATAGTTTTAAATCAGAAAGCATCATGCCTCTAATTTTGTTCTTCTTTCTCAAGATTGTTTTGGCTACTAAGAATCTTTTCTGTGAACAATGCCATTGGAATTTTGAAAGGGATTGCACTAAATCTGTAGGTCAGTTTGGGTAGTATGGACATTTTAACAATATTAATTCTTCCAAAAAGATTTAGTAATACAAAGCAAACACCAAAAGCATGATCCATTTAAAAAATGGATAAATTCAACTTCATCAAAATCACTTATGCTCTGTTAAAGATATTGTGTAGAGAATGAAAAGCCATGCCACAAACTAAAAGGAGGTATTTACAAATCATATATCTTACAAATGGCTTGTGTGAAATATACAAAGAATTTTCAGAATTCAATAAATGAGAAAATAAGTAGCCCAACTTTAAAAAAAAAGGTGGGGGTAGTAGCACAAGATATATGCAAACAGCTCACCAAAAAGATATTGGTATAGCAAAAAAGTGAGTAAAAAGATCTTTATTAGTCATTAGGAAAATGGAGATTAAGAAATAATGGGATACTACTTCACATCTATTAAAATAAATTAAAATAAAACTTGACAATACCAAGTGGTGACAAAGAGACAGAACAACTGGAACTCTCATACATTGAGATGGGAATACAATATTGTACAGCCAATTTAGAAAAAATGCTTGTCGGTGTCTTATAAAAGTACATATGCATTTACCATATGATTCAAAAAATCCCACTTTCTAGGCATTTAACCCCAAACAATTAATTTACATAAAAATTCATAATCAAGTGTTTGTAGTGACTTTTTTAACAAAACCACAAAACTCTAAACAACTCAATGTTCTACAACTGTGAATAAACTCTGATACATCCAGACAAGAAAAATACAAACTACTGATATACCGAAAACCATAGGTGAATTCCAAATGCAATATGCTAAGTAAAGGAAGCCAATCTCAAAAGACTACATGTTGTTTCACTTATATGACATTCTGGCTTAGGTAAAACCATAAAAACAAAATGCAGATCAGTACCAAAGGTTAGGGGGCCAAGGAAAAGATTGACTACAAGGTAGCAGCATGAGGGAATTTGGGAAGGTAATAAGACTTCTTTAATCTTGATTGTGCTATTGGTTACATGACTCTCTGAGTTTGTCAAAACTCACCAAAAAGGGTTAATTTTACCAAAGGTAACTTACAAAGTGAATAAAATGGTATAATGTTATGTGAATGTATAAAATATAAAATTCTATTATATTACTACAAACATATAAAAACTAAATAAGTCTATAGAAAAGGCTAGAGGTTAGCCTGGACAAATGAAACACTGACTTAAATAAAAAATAATAAAATGGGAAACTTTTCTCTTGAATTTTTGTTATATTTTAATATTCTCTTCCAAAGGAATTAAATTTTAAACATTCATTTAAAAAAATTATAAAAATTAAATAATTTTCATTTTTATAAGTTTTGATTAATTATTAAGATAATTGTCAAAAAGCAAAACAGATATTCAGTCAGCTTCTTAAGTAAATTCAACTCTACAAATAATCATTGGAATAAAACACTATTTAGAATTCTTTAGTAAACTACCCCTAAAAATATTTTAAACCGTTTTGTACAGTAAGAAGGCAATAAGGCGCAAAAGCCCTATTGAAACCTAACAGTTGGAGAAGATAGTTTAATTCAAACACACGTTACATGTGCCGTTCTCTCAGGATAGCTACATGGGACTGTTCAATAATAATTATAACTACGTGATTAGTATTCTAAGGGAACACAAACCAGGTGCATGTAGAATCTCAGAGATGCAGGATCTCTAAGGCCTCATGAAGGAGGGACATGTGAATTGAGTCTTAAGAAATAAATTCGGACTTGGCTGGGTGAAGGAGGCGGACAGCATTCCAGGTGGAAGCAACAGTACATGCAAAAGCATGAAGGTGTGAGAGGCGACGATACATTCAACATAGTGCGATATTTAACTAGAGATTTGGTTCAGATATTAGGAAAGAACTCAAGGTTGGAAACAGACACAGAAGTGAAATGAATATGTTTAATTCATCAACACAAAAAATAATCATTCAAAAGAGATTTCACAATAAGATGGTCTTCCCCATGGAATCCTAAGTAAAGTGTTAAAGCAAACTTTGAATAGTCTTCCATTTACTATCTCACATCTTAGAATTTTGAGAAAGCAACACAGGAAAAAATTGAGTACCTTAAGGTGTCTTGCAACTTCTGCATTAAACAAAGGTGTTTTGATGTAATGAAAAAACAATGTTGCAATTCTTTTTCTGAGTCCTTCAAGGTTATCATTTTTGACTCCTCTCATCATAAGGTCAACCTCTCTGTCAATCAGTTCTAGAATTTCCTGAGTCAGTTTACATTCATGTTCCTATTTAAGACACAAAAATATTCAGTACAGAATTTTAAGAAACAGTTTTTTAAGTTACCACACGAAGAAACTGAAATGAGACTCCAGAAGAAATGCAACATCACTGATAGCAATATAAACTGACACAACTAATTTGAGGGAAAAATTGACATTATCTAGTAGAGTTTAAGATATGCACAATCTACAACCCAGCAATTCTGCTCTTAAGTGCTTTAGAGAAATGTGCATATGGAGTCATTACACACAGTGACCCCAAAGTAGAAAACAACCAAAGAGCCATAAATAAGTTAATTACATAAATAAGTGATGGCTTATTCATAGGCCAGAATATTATCTATGTAAGGAAATAAGTGGACTACAGCTATATTCAATAACAACTTTCAGTCTTACAAATTAATGTTGAGCAAAAGAATCAAGGCACAAAATAGTACATATAGTATCAATCCATTTAAATAAAATACAAAAATAAGCAACACTAACCATATTTTTTTAGAAATGTACACAGAAGTGGTAAAATAAAGAAAAAAATCAAAGAAATTACTACCATGGAAGTCAGTATGGTAGTACTGCTAGGGTGAGCTGCCATTGTGAAGAGAAAGTGGATAAGGAAATAAGTGGACTACAGCTATATTCAATAACAACTTTCAGTCTTACAAATTAATATTGAGCAAAAGAATCAAGGCACAAAATAGTACATGTAGTATCAATCCATTTAAATAAAATACACAAATAAGCAACACTAACCATATTTTTTTTTAGAAATGTACACAGAAGTGGAAAATAAAGAAAAAAAATCAAAGAAATACTACCATGGCAGTCAGTATGGTAGTACTGCTAGGGGATAAGAGGGTGAGCTGCCATTGTGAAGAGAAAGCTGGACACCAGCAATGTTGGTTCTATCCTGTTTTGGATCCACAGGATGGTTACATGATTGATGGCTTTATATTCGTTAGACTGCACATATATATTTTACACATATTGTCTGCATGCTAATATAATTCACAATAATTTTTAATAAAGTAATAGAAATGAGTGTGGTTGGATAAGAAAGCCCTGGGTAAGAGCTAAGTGATTAAGGTACAAGGATTGATAAGTAGTCAAATAGAAGGTTCTCCAACTGCCCCACAGAGGATCATGAGAAATGAGTGAGCCAGAAGGTAAAGTCAGTCACTAATACTCTTCTGTACTTTCTAATACACGCTTGGCATAGCTAATACGTGAGTCTAATCAGTGGCCCCAGAGCCTGAAGGCACTTTAGAAGGACCCGGGGGAGGGTTTAAAAGATGTTTAACATTGCTCTCACACTTGAGTATCTAATTTAACTGCCTTGAAATGGAGCCTAGATTATTATTTCTAATCATTCTCATATCCTCTCTCTTTCTGTGTGTGTGTGTGTGTGTCTGTCTGTCTGCCACTCTCTCTTTTTCAAGCTCTCCAGATGATCCTAATGTGTACTCAGGTTTAAGATTCACTGGTCTGTATTAGCAATTGTTACCAAAATAATACCTATTATTTATTGAGGGCTTTCTATTTGTAAGTACTGAGACATACAGATTATATTTTTATTTTATATATTTATATATACATATATATGCACAAACATAGATATATTTATATCCTCAAAGCAACTAACTTTACAAATTAATTAAAAATGATTTTCAGAAATATTAAATAACTTATCTAAGGTTGCACAGCCATAAATGAATAAGAGCCAGAATTTGAATCATTCTTGAAGTCCGGGGGGATTAGACTTAAGCTGGCAGGTGGACATTCCCCAAAGGGTCCCAGACTGCAAGAGGGCACAGGCCAGGCTGAGGGAACCCACCCCCCCCAAACCCCCAGTGCACAAATTTTGTGCACCGGGCCTCTGGTTGTTATATAAAGAAAGGTACGTCCCAAATTGCCAGAGAGATGTCCCAGATGCAAGAGGGCACAGGCTGGGCTGAGGGAACCCGCCCCCCCTCCGTCCAGTGCACAAATTTCATGCACCGGGCCTCTGGTTGTTATAAAAAGGTATGTGTGATATAGTAGCTTAAACAAATTGTTGAAGAGATGCCCAATTTATCTTTTATGAGCCACTCTGGTGTTTTTTTAATTAGCCAGATAATGGTCCTAATTATGTCAAATAAGAGGATTTCTACTAGATTCCCTCCCTGCACTCCCTTCTTAACAATTTGGTGAGATGCCCAATTTATCTTTTATGAGCCACTCTTTGGTGTTTTTTTAATTAGCCAAATAATGGTCCTAATTATGTCAGATAAGAGGATTTCTACTAGATTCCCTACCTATACTCCCTTCTTAACAATTTGAATATCATGCTTATTTCCTACCTCTAGATCTATTGCTTCTCCCTCTCTTCCTAAGTACCACAGTATTTTAAGGCCACTCGCTACACAAACATCTTTGAAAGAGTAGTTCAGGACAAAGGCACTCAATGCCTCTGCTCTCAAGATGGGCAGAAATGCGAGAGATCTGTGGAGACTTATCTCCCAACAAGAACCATTTACTCGGCTACTTAAT